GCGGCGCTACGGCGAGATGCACAGTTGAAACCGAACTTAACTCCATCCGAGTAGCTGCAGCAAGCCTGAAGACGAACATGCGCGGCGCTGATGCGAGGGCCACACATCGAAACATAACACCCTCCATCCGCGGGGCTGCTGCAGCACACTTTTTGGACGTGTGATCGTGGCGAAAAGCATCTAAAAGCTATTCGCCGGCCCAACGGGCCAGAGGCGTGCTAAGATCTCCGGTAACTTGTTAACAATATTTCTAGTTCGCGCGCGCGGAGCGGCCCCTGGGGGCCCCCGGACGAAAAGTACCCCGGCAAGGTCCCGAGAGAAGCCCGGGAGAAGCCACCAGACCACTCCAGGGGAGGGTATTTTTCGACACCCCTCACGAGGATCGTGGCCTCCGAGGGGGGAGCCGCAATCGACTACCCCCAAGAGCCCCCCAAGAGGCCCTGGGGGCCTCCAAAACGCCGCCAAGGAGCCCCAAGAGACTCCCAAGAGGTCCCCAAGAGGCCCCCAAGAGGCCCTAAAGAGGGCTCCAGGGCCGGCGGCATGAGCGAAGCGATTAAATAACCACATTCTGAAAGCGACCCGCCCTCCATCCGAGTAACGTTTGAATTGTTCAAGTCTCGCGATCATCATGTGTGACGATGTCTCAAGCGAACCGCCCAGCCAGCCAGCCCGAAAGGCCTAGGGGCACGACAAAGAGGAGCTACGTAGAAGGAGTAAAGATGGGAGAGGAGGGAGGGGGAGGGCGGACGGGAAGGAGGAGCAGGAGGGAGGATACTGAGGAGGAGGGGTGGGGGGGGGGAAGCAAAGAGGACAGGGAATGCCAGGGACACGTCGTGGAAGGACGACAAGCGAGGGCTGGCGTGTGCCTCCAGATGCCCAGATCTGCCTGGGACTCGACGAGGACGAGAGGGGAGACCTGGGCAGGCGGGCAGGAGGGTGAGGGGAGAGTCCAAGGTCTCCAGGAGTTCCTGGAGGTGCATATGGAAGCCTCCCCTGGAGGAGGCGGAGGAACAGGCAGAGAAGAGCGAGCAGAAGCAGGAGGCTGGAGGCCAGAGGACGAGCGGGGGCGGACGGAGGGGAGACGATGAGGATGGGAGAGTGCAGCGGCTAGGGTGAAACTGCTGCCAGGTCCTGGGGCTCTGCGGGCCGCAGAGAGCCTGCACTGCACCCACGAACCCGATGCTGCCAGTCTCCCCTCCCTCCCCCTCCCTTCTCACTGCCCCCCTTCCCCTCTCCTCTCCTCCGTCCAACCTCCCCGCACCTCTCCTCTCCTCCACGAGTACACACTCTGAATACCACTCTCCTAGCTCCCCTGACTGTCCGGAAGGTCTCCAGCCCTCTCCGCGTGCAGCTCTTTCACACACAAGATGTCAAACGCCACCCAGGACAGCGTTCGTGGTCCCATAGGGAGCTCCACCGAAGGCTCCAGTGGCAGGGTCCGCATGCGTCACCGCCACCCAGGACAGCGCTTCGTGGCCCCATAGGTAGCTCCACCGAAGGCTCCAGTGGCAGGGCCCGCATGCCTCAACGCCACCCAGGACAGCGCTTCGTGGCCCCATAGGTAGAGCTCCACAGAAAGCTCCAGTGGCAGGGTCCGCATGCTTCAACGCCATCCAGGACAGCGCTTCGTGGCCCCATAAGGAGCTCCACCGAAGGCTCCAATGGCAGGGTCCGCATGCGTCAACGCCACCCAGGACAGCGTTTCGTGGCCCCATCTGGAGCTCCACCGAAGGCTCCAGTGGCAGGGCCCGCATGCCTCAACGCCACCCAGGACAGCGCTTCGTGGCCCCATAGGTAGAGCTCCACAGAAAGCTCCAGTGGCAGGGTCTGCATGCGTCAACGCCACCCAAGACAGCGCTTCGTGGCCCCATAGGGAGCTCCACCGAAGGCTCCAGTGCAGGTCCGCATGCGTCACCGTCACCCAGGACAGCGCTTCGTGGCCCCATAGGGAGCTCCACCGAAGGCTCCAGTGGCACAGTTGGCATGCGTCTCCCCCACCCAGGACAATGCTTCGTGGCCCCATCGGGAGCTCCACCGAAGGCTCCAGTGGCAGGGTCCGCATGCGTCAACGCCACCCAGGACGGCGCTTCGTGGGCCCATAGGGAGCTCCACCGAAGGCTCCAGTGGCAGGGTCCGCATGCGTCAAAACCACCCAGGACAACGTTTCGTGGCCCCATGGGGAGCTCCACCGAAAGCTCCACTGGCAGGGCCCGCATGCGTCAACGCCACCCAGGACAGCGCTTCGTGGGCCCATGTGGAGCTTCACCGAAGGCCCCAGTGGCAGGGCCCGTATGCGTTAACGCTATTAAGGACAGCGCTTCGTGGCCCCATAGGGAGCTCCACCGAAGGCTCCAGTGGCAGGGTCCGCATGCCATCCAGGACAGCGCTTCGTGGCCCCATGAAGAGGTGCACAGAAGACTCCAGTGGCACCGTTCGCATACGTCTCCCCCGCCCAGGACATGTTTCGTGGCCCCATAGGGAGCTCCACCGAAGGCTCCAGTGCAGGTCCGCATGCGTCACCGCCACCCAGGACGGCGCTTCGTGGCCCCATCGGTAGAGCTCCACCGAAGGCTCCAATGGCACAATGCGTCTCCCCCACCCAAGACAATGCTTCGTTGCCCCAGAGGGAGCTCCTCCGAAGGCTCCAGTAGCAGGGTCCGCATGCGTCAACGCCATCCAGGACAGATTTTCGTGGGCCCATAGGGAGCTCCACCGAAGGCTCCAGTGGCAGGGTCCGCATGCTTCAACGCCATCCAGGACAGCGTTGCATGGACCCACCGGGAGCTCCGGCGAAGGCCCCAGTGGCAGGGTCCGCATGCGCCGACGCCACCCAGGACAGCGCTTCGTGGCCCCATAGGGAGCCCCACCGAAGGCTCCAGTGGCAGGGTCCGCATGCGTGAACGCCACCCAGGACGGCGCTTCGTGGCCCCATAGGGAGCTCCACCGAAGGCTCCAGTGGCAGGGTCCGCATGCGTCAACGCCACCCAGGACAGCGCTTCTTGGGCCCATGTGGAGTTCCACCGAAAGCTTCAATGGCAAGGTCCGCGCGCGTCAACGCCGCCCACGTAGGCACACCCGTCACACGGTTCGTGGCCCCACAGGGAGCTCCACCGAAGGCCCCAATGACAAGGGTCCGCATGCGTCACCGCCACACATGACAGGGTTTCGTGGCCCAGTAGGGATCTCCACCGAAGGCCCCAGTGGCACCGTTCGCATGCGCCCCCCCCGCCCAGGAGAATTTTTCGTGGCCACATAGAGAGCTCCACCGACGCCCACATTGCCACCCGTTCGCGTGCGTTTCCCCTACCCAGGGCAGCGTTTCCTGGCCCCACAGGGAGCTCCACCGAAGTTCCCAGTGGCGCCGTTCGCATGCGTTTCCCCCACCCAGGACAGCGTTTCGGGGCCCCATTGGGAGCTCCTCCGAAAGCGGCAGTGGCGCAGTTCGCACGCGTCTCCCCCACCCATGACAGCGATTCGCGCCCCATCATAAGGAGCTCCAACGAAGGTCCCAATGGCACAGTTCGCACGCGGCTCACCCACCCATGACAGCGTTTCGCGGCCCCTTAAGGAGCTCCAGCGAAGGTCCCAATGGCACAGTTCGCATGCGTCTCCCCCACCCAGGACAACGCTTCGTGGCCCCATGGGGCGCTCCACCAAAGGCCACAATGGCGGTGTCCACATGCGTCCGCGCCACCGATTTCGGCGCACCCCTCGCACGCTTCGTGGCCCCATAGGGAGCTCCACCGAAAGCGGTACCCACAATGCGGCGCTCGCAACTGCATATGGTTGGGTCCTTCGTCAGGCTAATTTATTATGGCTTGCTTTGCAATCCGATTGTCGTCGGTGTTCACAATAGTGCTCGCGCTGCAGCGTGGGCCTCATTTTCGGATCGGCGCTTTGCTCCCGTCGTTCAGAATGGCGCTTTCGCTCCAGCGCTGGCAACGTTTCTGGATCCGAATCCTTTTTTATCGTTGCCACGCGCCTCATTTCCCTTCCTCCGCGTTCCCCTGGCTGTCCTGCTCCTCCTATTCCTTCCCCTCCGGTCACTGCGTACTGTGTTGGGTACATACGGCGGTCAACGTCTACAGGCAGCGTCCATCTTGCTTCCTCGGGTGTCATCTCGGCGGTTGGTGCGAGGGCCTCAAGGTATTCATGTTTCATGTGAGTCGGGCAGGCGATCTTCTTCCTTTGATATAAATATGAATTCGTCATTGATCTCGTTTCCCATTTCCCATTTCCCCTCCGGTCCCTGCTGCTGCTTTTCGTCGTCCTCCTCCTCCTCCTCCTTGTCCTCCTGCTCATCCTCCTGATCACCCGTTTCCCTTTTCCGACTGCGTCTAACACGATGGGGTCTTTCTGTTGGAGTTCCAGGTCGGCTACGACACGCGTCGGATATGGCACGAGCGCACCTAGCTTGTCCATCCCCCTCTCCCCTCCTCCATCGCCTCACTCCTCCCTTCCCCCTCCTTCCCTCTCCTTCCGCCTCCTCCATCCTCCCCCCGCCCCCCCCTCCGCCTCCTCCAGATTGTCCATACGGTAGGTTCGTGTCGTGCGGACCCTGGCGCTGGTTTCTGACACTGCGCTGGATTGCTCAACCTTGAACGATCGGCCGTTTCCGGAACGTTAGATTGTTCAACATCGACCGATTCTGAGTCGCCAGCAGCGTTCAACGTTGAACGCTGGCGGCGGCGGCGTCGCCGCTGGTCGACACGACGCAAATCTACCGTACCCCTCTCCAATTTCCCTCCGATCCCGCCCTTGGGGGCTTCCAAGAGGGGGGCGCCCAACAGGGGGGGGGGGGGGGCGCAAACCATGGCCAGCGGCACGTGCGCGGCCCAGGGGGTGGCCGGAGACGCATTGCAATGAGAAGAGGTGCCATGAGATCCGGGGAGATATCATGCCCCCCGCTATCATCCCCACCCCTACAATCAAAAACCCTAATAAGGACGCGCGGTAAGGGCGCAAGATCCTTGGAAGCCGAAGTTGGGATTTTGGGGGCGGCGGACGAAGAAAACCTCAAGGACGCAAGAGCAGGGAAGAGCAGGGACGCAAGGGCACCCTGAGCAAAGTCGCGCGTCCTTCTTAGGGTCTTTGACTGTGGTCATCACCCCCTCTTGGCCGCCCCGCCCCCCCTCCTCCCCCCTCGAGAATGGGGGGGAGCAGGCAGGGCGGAGGGCTTTTGTGGGTGCAGCCCAGGCCCGGTGGCGGAGAGCGCCGCCCTTCAGGAGTCGTTCGACTCGAGAGGTGCACGGCGCGCTGCTCGGCCGCCCAGGAGCAACACGAGGGCAGGAAGGGGAAGGTGCCACGAGGGAAGCCAACTGTACACCTGCCACGTCTTGCAAGAGCCCCAGGGACACACAAGTAAAGAGACACAAACCGCAGGGTTCGCCACATGTTCCCATCTTGTCTGGGTTTTCGTTCCCCCCCATATCCCACGTCTTCCTGGTAGTCGACGATTGATTGTGTCTGTGTGTGTTCGTTCCCCTCCTGAGTCTTGGCCGCGCGCACAAGAGGGTAGGGGGAGGGGGGGGAAGGCCTCTTCGGAGAAAGGGCCGCTTCTTAGAGGGCGCTGGCCCTACATCTACAGGAAGGCCCGCGCCTTCTAAGAAGCAGGGGTGCTTCTAAGAATGTGGACGACGATCAATGGAGAGGAGGCGAGCTGCCAAATGATTTCCAGATGTCTAAAACATGTTTAAAACATGTTTAAAGCATGCGGAACCTGCATTATACGGTCTAAAACCATTAAATGTACATGTTAAATCCAATGCTAGGGCTGCTAGTGTGTCAATTGTCATGGCATCCACAATTCTAAGACAAGCCTTCCCCCCTCCACCTGCCCCCCCCTGGCGCGCGCGGCCCAGCGTCTCTTGCCCTCGCACCTCGCGGTGCGCGCGGCGCGGCCATCCCTGCGCACTCGCGCTGCAGCCTGGAGAAGGGCACCTCTCCTGCCCAAATCCCGAGGCGCCTCTTCAAAACAAAAAACATATCCTTTCGCTGAATGACCGCGAGGCGCCGCTGTATCTCCGCGCCGCCTGCCGGGATGCGCACTTTTTGATTCGCGGGTCGAGAGCGCACCTCTTCCGGTCGAAGCTAAGCGCCGGGATGCGCACACGCAACCGCACCGAGCACGCCTGGCCCAGTCCCGGGCCCAGGCTCGGCTGGGAGGACCCGTGCAGGCGCATAGTTGGCAACATCCGATGTTCGGGGAGCCACACCCCTGCCAGGCTGCACTGCCAGCGGGCCGCCTGCCTTCATGCGGGGGCTGCTGCATCCGTCCCGGGTGGCTGCGTCCGCTCGTGAACCGCGCCGCCGCTTCCCCACCTCTCCCCTCGTCCCTCTTGCCCCCCTTCCCCTTTTCCTCCTCCACCTCCCCCCATCTTCCCCTGCGCCTGGCCTTCCTCCCCCACCTGTCCTCTCGACCCTCCGCATCCTCCCTCCTCCACTCAACAAGTACAGGTCGGGACTGATCGGAAAGGACACGCGAGAGGACACGAGACCCTTCCGAGGGCCACGTTGCCGTGGGAATGTACGAAGACGTGGGTCGCGAAGCTCAGGACACAAGGGTACCCTTGACTTGTCGGGAGCGGCCAAGAGGGGGCGTCCAAGAGGGGGGGGGCAAATCATGACCGGCGGCACGTGCGCGGCCCAGCGGGGGGGCCAGGGACGTAAGAAAATAAGAAGAGGCGCCATGAAATCTGGGGAGATATCATGGCCCCCGCCATGATGTCCCCCCCCCCTAGTCATCACCCCCCTCTTTTCCGCCCCCGAACTTGGCAGGGCCGACCTGCGAATCCGGGCCGACTGTACACGTCCGCGCCGCTCCCCTCTGTACCCTGGGAGCCACGTGCGGGCACGAGCGCGCCGCTCCCTCGCGTGGCTGCTTCGCGCGCGCACGCCGTGCCAGCGCGGATACGCTACATTGAAAACGTATAGCAAGGACGGGTGGTAAGGACGCAAGAACCTTGGAGGCCGAAGTCGGATTTTTGGGGTGGGGGGCGGCCAGTGAAAACGGCGAAGGACGGGCCGCAGAGGCAAGGCCTCAAGGGTGCCCTAGATGAAGGCACGCGTCCTTACTAGGCGCGTCGACTGCATCAGAGCGAGAGGGGGCCGAACGGTCCTTCGCTGTCCCTGGGTGCGTGGCTGAACTGGGGCTCCGCGGTGCGGATTGAAATTTCACCCCGGAAAAAATATTATTGTCGATCCCCCCCCCACTCCGGTGACCAGTGTGTTTCTTCATCGCGGCGCCCCCCCCAGGGCTGGCACCTTGATTTCTATCAAGGAAACTCTGGTGTCACCAAACTCGGCTCTTGGCCCCCAGCTTAATCACGTACAACAACAAGAACAATACCAAGAGCAATAACAATCACAATAACAATAACAAGAACAATAACAAAAACATCAACAACAATAACAGCAACAGCAACAACAGCAACAACAGCAACAACAACAACAACAATCATTTTACCCTCATGCGCCATGCTTCCACATGACACATGCATCCATCTGGATAACACACCCCATCATGGGGGATTTTTCTGGCATGCGGGATCCGATATTCCCTCACCCAGATATCCCGCCCAAGAAGGTTTGGCCACCACCTCTTCCGAGGAACTTCAACATCCATAGCTCGGACGGCACATCGCCTTCGCAATCGCCTTGCGCATGCCCCGCATCTCAGAGGGAGAGGAAGAGGAAGAGGAGGGGGAGATGAGAGAGATAGGGAGGGGGGGAGGAGAAGGGAGGGGGAGGAGGGGGAGGAAGGATGAGTAGTTGTAGTAGCAGCAGTTGATGATATTGTTGTTGCGGCTGTAGCACTAGTAGTAGTGGTAACGGTAGTAGTAGTCCAAGTAAGTAGAACTGGCTTGTGGCAGCCAAGCGTTCATAGCGACGTTGCTTTTTGATCCTCCTTTAATGTCTTCTCTCCCTATCCTTGAGACGCAGAAGTCTCAAAAAGTTGGATGGTTCAGCACATCCAGGAAACCTATCGCTGGACCGGCCCAGATATGGTTCCAGAAGCGGCTCGGGAAGCTGCGCAGGCGCCAGAAGCAAAGAAGCACCACGTACGGGCGCCGGCTCGGGCGTCCGGCCCAAAGCCGCTCCAGAATCGGCCCAGGACGGCTTCCCGGGCGCCGCAAGCAGAAATTCAGCATTTTCGAAAGAAAAATGTGTATTGGAATGGCCTCTTTTCGGCGCGATCGGAACTGCCCGGGCGTCCGGCCCGGGAGCCGGGCCGGGTGCCGGCCGGGCCGGGTGCTGGCCCGAGCTCCGGAATCGGCCCGGACGGCCTCCCGGGCGCCGGAAGCAGAAATTCAGCATTTTCGAGAAAGAAAAATGTGTGTTGGAATGGCCTTTTTTCGGCGCCGCCTCGGAACTCGATTTTCCGGCGCCCGGGCGCCGGCTCGGGCGCCGACCCGGGCGTCCGGCCCGGAAGCCGGGCCGAATGCCGGCCCGAGCTCCGGAATCGGCCCGGACGGCTTCCCTTCCCGGGCGCCGGAAGCAAAAATTCAGCATTTTCGAAAAAATAATGTGTATTGGAGTAACCTTTTTTCGGCGCCGCCTCGGAACTCGATTTTCCGGCGCCCGGGCGACGGCTCGGGCGCCGGCCCAGGCGTCCGGCTAGGGAGCCGAGCCGGGTGCCGGGCAGAGCTCCAGAATTGGCACGGACGGCCTCTCGGGCGCCGGAAGCAGGAATTCAGCATTTTCGAAAAAACAAAAAAATGTGTATTGAAATGGCGTTTTTTCGGCGCCGCCTCGGAACTCGATTTTCCGGCGCCCGGGCGCCTGCTCGGGCGCCGACCGTCCGGCCCAAGAGCCGGGCCGGGTGCCGGCCCGAGCTCCGGAATCGGCCCGGACGGCCTCGGGCGCCGGGAGCAGAAATTCAGCATTTTCGAAAGAAAAATGTGTATTGGAATGGCCTTTTTTGGGCGCCGCCTCGGAACTCGACTTTCCGACCCGGGCGTCCGGCCCGGGAGCCGGGCCGGGTGCCGGCCCAGGCTCCGGAATCGGCCCGGACGGCCTCCCGGGCGCCGGAAGCAGAAATTCAGCATTTTTGAAAGAAAAATGTGTATTGAAATGGCCTTTTTTCGGCGCCGCCTCGAAACTCGATTTTCTGGCGCCCGGGCGCCGGCTCGGGCGCCGACCCGGGCGTCCGGCCCGGGAGCCGGGCCGGGTGCCGGCCCGAGCTCCGGAATCGGCCCGGACGGCCTCCCTCCCGGGCGCCGGAAGCAGAAATTCAGCATTTTCGAAAGAAAAATGTGTATTGGAATGGCCTTTTTTCGGCGCCGCCTCGGAACTCGATTTTCCGGCGCCCGGGCGCCGGCTCGGGCGCCGACCCGGGCGTCCGGCCCGGGAGCCGCTCTCGGCGGCGAGCAAGAGCACCGAGCCCGAGTAAAAAAGGAGGAAGTCTCGAGCCGGAGCGTTGTTGTTGTTGGGGGGCCGGTTTTGGCGGAACCCCAAAACGCCTGAGCGTGAGCCTCAATTTCAGAGGAAATGCGGCCGGCGCCTCGGCGAGAGCGCCAGGGCGAATATAGGGGGTCCAACAATAATAATTGTTTAGTAATTAAGGTTCAACAACAACAACAACAACAACAACAACAACAACAACAACAACAACAACAACAATCATTTAAGACTGGGGACACTCCGTTCTCACCAGTGCCAGGGTTTTCATAGGAGGCGGGCAATACCCCCACTTTGTGGGGGGGCCGGTTCAAGCTCTACCAAATTTCCAAACGACTCTTCGCCACCACCCACACCCAGCTTCCCGCCCTATGACGTTCGGACACTTCACTTCGTGGCATGCGGACGACCGTGGCTACTATTCAGGGCCCCGCGGCCGACGACGACGGCGTGCGCGCGCGAAGAAAAAACGAATGTGTCCAATATGGTATTATTTGACAGGGATGATGGCCCTGACATGCGCGCAACCGTGGTTGCAGAACTTCGAAGCACGTTAAAAAGTTGCTCGCAAGAGCCCGTTTGACAGAAATGTTGAAAAAATATTGGGTTTCCTCAGAAATCCGCAAGAGCGCGCAAGATGAATTTTTGAAACTTTTTTTTTGAAAAACCATTGGGTTTTTCATGTTTTTATGTTAAAATCGCTACGACAACTAAGGTTTCATCTTGCGCGCGCGAGTGTGCACTTCGTGTCATTTTTCAAAGGATTCTTGAAGTTTGGTTATGTTAGAACAAGAAATTTCATTTTATAGTGTTTTTTGCAAGGGAAAGCGGGCGTCAACAAAACAACCGGATCTGGATGACATCGTTTTACCTGAGACTTCCTCACGAAAATGATGAAAATGTGGCTGCGGCCTAGGCGCGGGGGGGGGGGCGTGCACCAGGGGGCCCAACAATAATTATTCTTTAGAATTAATAATGTTCAACAACAACAACAACAACAACAACAACAACAATTACTAGCACGCGGGGACACACCGTTCTCACCAGTGCCAGGGTTTTCATAGGAGGCGGGCAATACCCCCACTTTGTGGGGGGGCCGGTTCAAGCTCTACCAAATTTCCAAACGACTCTTCGCCACCACCCACACCCAGCTTCCCGCCCTATGACGTTCGGACACTTCACTTCGTGGCATGCGGACGACCGTGGCTACTATTCAGGGCCCCGCGGCCGACGACGACGGCGTGCGCGCGCGAAGAAAAAACGAATGTGTCCCGCATGGTATTATTTGACAGGGATGATGGCCCTGGCAGGTGCGCAACCGTTGTTGCAGAAGTTCGAAAAAGTGGCTCGCAAAAGCCCGTTTGACAGAAATGTTTAAAAAGTGTTGGGTTTCCTACAAATCCGCAAGAGCGCGCGGGATGAAATTTTGACCTTTTTTTTATTTTATAAAAAAAACACATTGGTTTTTCATGTTTTTATATTAAAATCGTGACGAACACTAAGGTTTTGGAAGGATTTCGTCTTGCGCGCGCGAATGTCCACTTTACCTTATTTTTTTGCAAGGGATTCTTGAAGTTTGGTTATGTTAGAACAAGAAATGTCCACTTTCGCTTATTTTTTGCAAGGGAAAGCGGGGGACAACAAAACAACCGGATCTGGTACACATCGTTTTGCCTGAGGCTTCCTCACGAAAATGATGAAAATGTGGCGAGGGGGGCGCGCACCAGGGGGCCCAACAATAATTATTCTTTAGAAGTAATAATATTCAACAACAACAACAACAACAAGAACAACAACAACAACAACAACAACAACAACAATTACTAGCACGTGGGGACACTCCGTTCTCACCAGTGCCAGGGTTTTCATAGGAGGCGGGCAATACCCCCACTTTGTGGGGGGGCCGGTTCAAGCTCTACCAAATTTCCAAACGACTCTTCGCCACCACCCACACCCAGCTTCCCGCCCTATGACGTTCGGACACTTCACTTCGTGGCATGCGGACGACCGTGGCTACTATTCAGGGCCCCGCGGCCGACGACGACGGCGTGCGCGCGCGAAGAAAAAACGAATGTGTCCCGCATGGTATTATTTGACAGGGATGATGGCCCTGGCAGGTGCGCAACCGTTGTCGCAGAAGTTCGAAAAAGTTGCTCGCAAAAGCCCGTTTGACAGAAATGTTTAAAAAGTGTTGGGTTTCCTACGAATCCGCAAGAGCGCGCGGGATGAGATTTTGACATTTTTTGTTGAAAAACCATTGGTTTTTTGATGTTTTTATGTTAAAATCGCTGCGAACACTAAGGTTTTGGAAGGATTTCGTCTTGCGCGCGCGAATGTCCACTTTACCTTATTTTTTGCAAGGGATTCTTGAAATTTGATTATATTAGAACAAGAAATGTCATTTTATAGTGTTTTTTGCAAGGGAAAACGGATTACAACAAAACAGCCGGATCTTGATGACATCGTTTTCTGAGGCTTCCTCACGAAAATGATGAAAATGTAGCTGCGGCCTAGGCGGCGCAGGGGGGGCGTGCACCAGGGGTCCCAACAATAATTATTCTTTAGAATAATAATGTTCAACAACAACAACAATTACTAGCACGTGGGGACACTCCGTTCTCACCAGTGCCAGGGTTTTCATAGGAGGCGGGCAATACCCCCACTTTGTGGGGGGGCCGGTTCAAGCTCTACCAAATTTCCAAACGACTCTTCGCCACCACCCACACCCAGCTTCCCGCCCTATGACGTTCGGACACTTCACTTCGTGGCATGCGGACGACCGTGGCTACTATTCAGGGCCCCGCGGCCGACGACGACGGCGTGCGCGCGCGAAGAAAAAACGAATGTGTCCCGCATGGTATTATTTGACAGGGATGATGGCCCTGGCAGGTGCGCAACCGTTGTTGCAGAAGTTCGAAAAAGTTGCTCGCAAAAGCCCGTTTGACAGAAATGTTTAAAAAGTGTTGGGTTTCCTACGAATCCGCAAGAGCGCGCGGGATGAAATTTTGACATTTTTTTTTTGAAAAACCATTGGTTTTTTGATGTTTTTATGTTAAAATCGCTACGAAAACTAAGGTTTTGGAAGGATTTCGTCTTGCGCG